GGATCAGAAACGGAGTGCCGGTCCACAGGTGTTTGTGGCAGGATGGCCTGCGAGTGTGACAAGCAGCTAGCGGAGTGCTTGACAGGCGCAAAACCCAGGAGGAAGAATTCTTTCTACAACCGAAGGGAGCTCTGCAAAGGACCAAAGAACTCCTGCCCGGTCATCCACCACAACGCCACCGAAATCCTACCCTGGGGAAGTCCTCGCTTTACCTCTGTGTCAAGGCCAGGTGCTTAAGGAAAAGCTACACAGGCTGGGCAGGAGCGGGGTGTGTGTGTGGCTGCTTCCTTAGGCCTCCCGCCTCTCAAATCTGTGCTTTTTAAGCAAGGCCACAGAGCGCTTCTTTTGGTCACAAAATGTCAGACTGGGGCAGGGTAAGCGTCGCCTGAATGAAAGGACATAAATGAGGAGGAAACGCGGCTTTCTCGGCGGGGCCCGAAGGCACGCCTCGAGGCTTGGGAAAAGCGGGAAGGAGGTGCCCAGCCTCCAACATGGGAAATGGGCGACAACATAAAAGAAAGGCCCGGAGACTGTGGGTGGGAGAGCGAGGCGGCTGTGCGGACACGACGGCCAACTGCTCTCTCCCCCCTTTGTCTGGGGCGGGATATTGCGCTGACGCGGAAAAAGCCTTTTGGCAGCGAGAAGGGAAGCTGACAGCGAGAGGGAGGGTCCGACCGGCCCCTTGAGGGTCACGACACGACCCCTGCCCTGCCCTGCCTCTCCCTCCCCCGGAGTCGCCCAATCTCGCAAAGGAGGGGGAAACCTTGCCGGGACTAAAGAGCTGCTCTCTCACCTGGACGAGCACCTTCACGTACATGAGCGGCTGGGAGAGGACCGTGAGGCCGGAGCCCAGCAGCACCTGAGAGGCCGTGTCCGCCATGCTGCCGCCTCACCGGGCTCCGCCACGGGGGGGGTTGGGAAAGGGGGCGAGCGAGAGCACCAGCAGCTCCGGCGCCACCTCCACGTGACCTGCGATGGAGCGAGGAGGAGAGATGGAAGGGCTCGCTCCAGCGCCTCCGTCGACTTCCGGCCCCTTCCCTGCCCTGTTTCCGCCCTCTCTGGAGAGGGCGAGAGCAGGGATCTCCGACGGGAACGGGGGATCCTGTGACAGGTTGCCTAAGGTTCCGGTAGGATCTGGGCGGCTGCCGGAGGGTTTCAACCCCTCTGAATCCGCCGTAGCAGAGTCCAGTTGCATAGACGAGCACGTCTGTCTGAAGGATGAGGTGCCCTGGAGTCGAGTGGAGCTGATGGGAAATCAAATGGGAAAGCCACTATGCTGTACGGAAGTTGGGTGGTTGCTCCGTCTCTCCGCAGATCCGCTCCAAAAATTGAGAAAGGAAGCGTTTGTGGAGACTTGACAGCCTGCCATTCTTTTCCCTCGGTTATCGGGCTTTTTGGGGACGGCTTTTGCATCCAGGGATAGATTGCAATGTCAGGCAAAGCAATCGACATGCCGGAGGGTTGGGTTAAAATTTGGGTTAAATTGTGTCCCTCTGTATAATAATTTTTATCCGTCCCAGTCATGCAGCAGCAAAAACAGCAAGTTCATGTCCTGATGGGAAAAATATGCATGAATAGTAGTCTTTCATTCATTCATGTGATGGGCATTATTCCTGGTTTGCAACAGAATCCACTGAGTTTTTTTCTTCAAGCTTTCCTGAATAATTTCCGAAGTCAGAAAGTACAAACCAGTGGGTGGATCAGAGGGACTGCAGCCTATGGTTCTGCATTAGAAAATGAAAATACTTATGCATTCTGAATAACATTATATATATATAGTGTCCCATCAGGACATGAACATGTAAGGGTTTTTAAACTCTGAAGTGTTCCAGGTACTATATATATATCTATCTCCCAGGACATTAAAGCTAGCAAGCAACGTAGTAATGGCTGAAACACATGCCCAGAGAAAGTAAAATGTAATGCCCCGAAAATTAACAAAGCAAGAATTTACTCAAACGCCCGCCACGTTTTATGCGAAAGCTTCCTCAATCGCCGCTTGACTTTTAATGCCCTCCGTTAAACTTCTGTTCGCTCCTCAGTGACCTTATTGCAGGCGAAAGGGGAATAGTCCCCACATCGCGAGAACGTGGCTCACCGCCTTCTCCTCTAAGTCGGATTTTCCAGCGGCTGCAAAAACACGGCTTCTTAGTTCATGCTTTACTACATACATTGCAGTATGTATATATATATACATACTGCAATGTATGTAGTAAAGCATGAACTAAGAAGCCGTGTTTTTGCAGCCGCTGGAAAATCCGACTTAGAGGAGAAGGCGGTGAGCCACTCTCGATAGTTCACGATTCGTCCAGCTTGATCGAGGAAAGAGCTCCCACTGAGCTAAATCCACTGTGTTAGTTCCAGCGAAATTACAGTAGACCTATTCACTCAATAAGGCATAAATATTGATTTAGAAAGCCTTATTCATTAATTGCAGTCCCTCTAGCTTTGTGATTGTATAGCCACCATGTTTAATCTCAGCTTACTTTGGACACTTCTAAAGTATGTATTACATACTTAAATGTGAAGAATGTACTTGTGTTAAAGTGCTCTGAAACTTGTTTATGTCATATATCTTAATGTTGGCTGGGGAAATGTGAAATTTATGGACCTAAATATTAAAATGTAACTTCATATTGTTCTTAACAATGTATATTTTGTTGCAGAGTTTTGAGTTTCTGGTAAAATTCCTTTTGCAACATAGTAGTAGAAGTAGTAGTAGGTGTTGTTTAGTCGTTATGTCCGACTCTTCGTGACCCCATGGACCAAAGCATGCCAGGCCCTCCTGTCTTCCACTGTCTCCCGGAGTTCGGTCAAAAGTAGAAGTAGAGAAATCCACAAGGGATAGCTACAAGATTCCCAGAATCCACCCCTTTTCTTATTAACTGGCAAGTAAAGTCTCAGTAATTCATTGTTTGTAGGCATCCCTCAGTCTGGAGAGACTATGGTAACGTGCTCTGAATAGAGCAGCGATGGCAAACCTATGGTACGTGTGCCACAGCTGGCACGCAGAGCCTTCTCTGTGGGCACACGAGCCATAAGTCGCTGGATTGCTACCCTGGTGCCAAACCTGAGGAAGCAGCTGCAGCCACAGTGCTAGCACCCTGAAAGGCAGTGGGCCAAGATCCGGAGCAGCTGGCACTGGTGGTGGCAGGCCAGCCAAACTATAGGTAGTGGCGGGGTTGGGCACAACTAGAGGCACTGCCTTGCCCGGGATTCCTGCTTCCGCCACTGCTGCCGCCCACTGGGTTGTGTTGTTTTTTTCCCGTTTGAACACCCAGGCTCAAAAACATTAGCCGTCACTGGAATAGAGGTCTTGGAACAGCATCTAGTGTGGCTGAGAAGGCCAATTCGAGAGTGACAATCCCTTCCACATTGAAGACAAATACAACCTGTCCCCTGTCCAGCTCCCTGATTTTGCTGGTTTTGGGACTATCTCTTTGCCTCGGACTGCTGGACAAGGGTCTCTTAATATTAGGGGAGGCCATGGTGCATCGCCTGCCTCCAAGCTGAACGCCCAGATGTCAAAGTTTCCCATCTGTTGAGGTCCATTCCTAAGGCTTCAGATCCCACTGTTTGTAGAAGAATGAATAGAAACATTTCTTTACTTGCAATTACAGACATGTGCATGCTGTTTTCTTTATCATAGTTAAACTGGCAGCCTACTGAATAGATCAACAGCAAACAACTACCATCACTAACCAGTCAATTCTTCACTGTTACAATTTTCATGATGTGTCACAACTAGCTTGTTTTTCATTTGCACTCTAAATGTATTGCTTCAAAATATTCACGTGCATCATCGCCACGATAATAAATTGGTAGGGATCTGCCATTTCGATTTTTTTTACTACAAAGTCTAATTCTAGGTGTTCAACTTAACAGACCCACATCTCAGACACCTAAATGTGGCTCACCTAGAGAGAAAGGCCTAGCTCAAAAGGCTTTATGATCTAGTACAGGCTTAGCTCTGCCTGAGCTTTTTGTTTAGAAAGGAAACTGATCCACTGGGATACCACAAAATCCTGAATTATGTCTTCTGCTTATGTTCTCCACTTCCATCTTATTTTGAATAAGTATTGTCAAGAAAATTTATTTCCATTTCATATTTTAAGCCAATTTACATTCCTTCATTTATTAAAAATTTGATCTACAAAAGCTCAAATTAAAATATAACAGTATTTAAGGTACCACAATGTTTTTGTCTTTTGTTTTTATGTGACTGATACGCTTGCACAGACTAATAGCTAAAATTTCCACTTTAGTCATTGACTCTTAGAATTTGGTAGATTCATATCTATTGTCTCCATGTTTATGTCTAGTTCCTGTGGAGCTCTTATGTTTTGAAGATCTCGTAGAAATGTCGTTACTTCTGAGCTCTGCTTATGATTATTGTTTTCTCCCCATTAATTTAACTTTTAAGCAGCTGGCTGTTTGTTTCAGTGTCTTCCAAATTCACTGCTGTTTCAAAGAGTGATTCTTTGGAATAAAAATGAGATTTAAAGTCTTTTTCTGAGCTAATTTTTGCAGGACGTTTCCTTCCAGACTAACATTATAGTTTTAAAATTCATAAGATATTTTGATAAGGTGCCTTGTTCAGTGAAAATTATCAGGCTGGGAAGAGAAGAAACAATTCATGCTATCAGCTAGTTCTGCTTGCAACCACTCGATACTTTTAAAATGTAGTGCTGCAATGTTTTCATCTTTCATGTCCTTTAATGTTCACATAGGCTATTCTTTTCATTCGGGGCAAGGAAAATTAGAGAGTTACAGAATGCAGTATTAGGAAAGACTGGTCTGCCAGAATGGAGACAAGACTCAGATTTCAATAATACCATGGGAACTGAAAAAACTATAGCACCAACCAAAAGATGAATACAACAACACAATGTATGCCTGAGTGTGTGGTTCCAACAGTGACCTAGCAGACTTCCATTCTGCTATTGCTGCTGATTAGTGCACAGTCATCTACAGTATGACTAATAAAACTCAAAACACAATTATCAAGTAGTCACAATTTATCATGAGGAAAAATCTCTTGTATACATTAGATATTTAAATTTCTTTTAGCAATAAGGTCAGATATGTTATAGCAGATGTCAGTCTCCAATCCCACCTTTTCGGAAGTAACATGAATGCATGTGAGGCATTTATGGGACAGAATCAACAACAGGGAGGTTATATAACCACACTCACACTCATTGAGCTCCTCCTCCAAATCTTACACCCGCTGGCTGTGTCTTTGGCATGGTTTTGGAGCCCATCTGAAAGTGGAGGGGGAATGATTAAAAATACTGAAGAGGGCAATTGTACCACAGAAGCTACAGGCATCTGGGTCAAGCATGCTCACCTACATGGCATTCTACCTTGCAAGTACTCATCCATTCTATATTGATCTTGTGGGGAAAACACAGTGCTAGGATCCTGTGTTCTCCATATAATTTGTAATACTATCCTAAGATACTAACAGAAAGAAAACTAACAACCCACCCATCCTGTCATATCAATGATAGATCTCAGCTATGGATCTGTAGAAATAAATGAAATCTACAATACTCTTTGACAACACTCCGGATTTCCTTTCATCAAAGAAATGCAGGAGATTTTGTGTCAAAGTCTTGTAAAAACTGTGCAACAGGAGAGTGCCAGCTTCCTCACTGTCCAGGTGTTATTTCAGTATATCAAATCTCTGTGGTTTCACTGGATGGGGCCAGCAATTTCTTGTACACAAATTCTATCTTTTGACTTGCCTCTGTGCTCTTTAGTGCTGAACATTTTTTACCAATCTTGTTAAATGTCTTCCTGTCTTTTGCATGATGTTCGCTCTCTGCCTTCAGAAGCAAGCTGTCAATTTGGAGAGGCTTCCATTTAAATTCTCTTGGGGGAAGAATTTGTGACCTGCTTTGGCCTAAGTGCCATAGTTGTTTGTTGTCAAGAGTGCTATGAGATTTCAAAGTAAGACTTCGGCGCAGCATTAACGTCACAGAAGGCACTTCAGGACTCCACCACATGGACCTAAATGTGAGGGAAATAAATAAACTCATTTTGCAAAGGTAGTAAGTAATTAAAAAAATTAAATGTTTTCAGATGGATGGCTCCCAGTAGAGATGGGCACAAAGAGCTGGTTTGACAGTTTCTTCCAGTTCATTTACCATTGCCATAGGTGTTGGGTGGTTTGGCACCCCACCCTACTGATGGGTGTGCACTCAGAAGCAGCACCTGGATGTGGTGGGGCAAAGAAACCAGGACACTGTCTCTGAGTGGATGTCTGCCAGAGGAAGCAGGGCACTAAACCACCAAACATCTATTGTGATGGTAAACAAACCAGGCCAAACCACTGAACTGGTGGTTCATGCCTATCTCTAGCTCCCACTGATAGTGGACAGTTATTTTCCTCTTTCTTTTTATTTATTTATCTTTTTTTGTGAAAAGAAAGAACATGGGGAGGTAAGAAAATGCATGATGGTTACAAGCAGAAGAAAGTGTCACCTGCCCCAGCCCTGTAAAAGTAAGTATTTGAGGCTGGGCAATTACAGGATAAAACCATGACTGGAAGGCCTTAAAGAAAATAAGGTTGGATTAAAATTCATCACTACTCTTGAAGGCACCCAGATGACTTCAGAATTTCAGATACGTAGAATATAGAAGGAAAATATCACTGCTGTTTAAAAAAATGAGATAAAAATACCATTATGGACAATAAAATAGAATAGGCATCCTTCAGTCTCGAGAGACTATGGTATTGTGCTCTGCATGGAGGACTTGGAACAGTATCTAGTGTGGCTGAGAAGGCCAATTCTAGAGTGACAATCCCTTCCACACAGGACAAATACAATCTGTACCCCATCTAGCTCCCTGATTTTGCTGCTTTCGTGACTGCCTATTTGCCTCAGCCTGCTGGACAAGGGTCTCTTCAAATTGGGAGAGGCCGTGATGCACCGCCTGCCTCCAGGCTGAATGCTCAGATGTCAGGGTTTCTCATCTGTTGAGATTCATTTCCAAGGCCTTCAGATCCTGCTTGCAGATATCCTTGTATCGCAGCTGTGGTCTCCCTCTGGAGCGATTTCCCTGCACTAATTCTCCATACAGAAGATCCTTTGGAATCCAACCATCAGCCATTCTTACAACATGCCCAAGCCGACGTATGGACAATATGCTCAAGCAATTAACACGACATGCAGTTTGGTCCTAAATATAAATGCTTTGCTTACTTTTTACTAATGCTCTCTCATCCAGATGTAAGCTCGCAGGTGAGAGTAAAATTCCTCTCACTGGAGTGCTGTCACTCCCACCCACAGCAGAGAAAGAAATCCAGACCCTGCCTGTTTCCCCTCCCGAGAAGACAGGACTGACGGAGCCAAACCCGGGAAGAGTACAGGAAGATTTGAAAAGACTAATGGCCAGAGAGACCGGGAAGGACTTGGTGGGAAGGGAACAGAAGCCGAGGGTGGAAGTGGAAGCAGGGCTAGCAGATATAAAAGGGGGAGAAGGGGAGTTACTGCCAGGTTGGGAGTGGATCTGGATGTAGGATCCATGGACCAAAAAGTGGGAGAGTTCACCCCTAAACCATCATATTGGGGTGAGAAAGAGACCAGAGAGTGGAGGAGAAAGCTAAGAGAAGAAAAAGAAGGTCGAGAGAGAGAGAAAGGAATATCAGAAGTGAGAGTGAGGAAGAACCAGATGAGGGGGGTACCCGGAGGACTCTGGCAGACATACACCCCCACCCGGGAACATACCTGGTTGGAGCTCCAGGACAAGGACACAGTCCCTTTATTGGAAGGGGAAGCCTGACAGGTGCTGAACCCTAACCTGTCGATGGACTGGCCTTGACCTTGGAACACTGGAGGGGGAAACCCTTTTAAAGACGAAGAATGGAAGCCTCTTGCTGACCCGTTGTTAGGAGATAAATGTTGAAATGCGTTTGCAGACACTGGTTTCTTGTTAAAAACGGCAATAAATGTTACTCCCATTTCAAAACCTCGTAAGACTGATGATTTATTTGGAGAAAAACAGGAGCCTGAACCTAAACCCTCACACCAGAAAAGGACATAATGCAGATAAGGTTGTTATATCAAGCCAGGCCCATGGTACAGCAATCCCTGCTGTGTTAGAATCACAGAACTATAGAGTTAGAGGGTCTCTAGAGGTCACTTAGTCCAACCTCCTGATGATGAAGGTAATCCACAAATAGAGGATTGTTAGTAGATAACCATCCAACCTCTATTTGAGAAAATGTCAAAGGAGGAATGTATATTTCATATGAATAAAATGTTGAAATAACAGGACAGTACAAAGCATTTAACCCTCAAAATACGAATGGGGATCAAAACCTGAAGTTTTGATCAGTAATGTACTGAATGTCCACTAGAGGTCACTGCAGGGCAAACAGCCAGCTCTTCATAGAAAGCCATTCTGTTAACCAGGCCAGCTAAAGACATGATAAGTTAATACTGTCTTGCATAGCCAGTGGACTCTACTGAGAAATGTATGTGCAGCACGAAGAAAAGCCATTGGCTACACTATGTCAGCTGATCCCACAAACTGCATCAGAGCACAGAGTCCTGACTCCTGTCCTCTGAAGATGCCGGCCACAGAGGCTGGCGAAACGTTAGGAAGAAAAACCTCAAGAACATGGCCAGACAGCCCGAGAAACCTACAACCAATGGATCCCGGCCATGAAAGCCTTCAAGAATACATACCCAGCTTTCTTAGTTAGGAGAACATAAAGATTAGGATAAATGTCTTGAGATAAGAGCTGTTTTGACAGTGAACTGCCTGAGAGAATGGTATGCTCTTCCTCACTGGAGACTTTGAAACAGAGGTGAGATGGTCACCTCTCAGAGATGCTTTAGTTGTGGATTTCTTGATTTGGCAGGGTGCTGGAATGGATGATTAAGGGGTATTTCTGGGTATTTCCATGATTCTATGAAAAAGTGGAAAACCACTCAACAGTGGTATCATGATCATGAAGGAGGAGGCATAACTACAGAGAACTGGACTGATTCTAGGAGGGTCAGATTGAGACTCAAGGCCAGCAGTTTCCCACCCAGCTTTATACAATATATCTTATGCTGAAATACTTTCATTCTAAAAAATGTACTATAGCATGTGAGGACTCCTGTATGTTTTTCTCCCTCACAGCATGTGTGTGTGTGAGAGAGAGACGCATGTACACGCGCACGCATGCGCATGCAGCCAGATACCTAAACCACTGAGTTATCCAGCCAGCTATAAAGATATTATCCATCCCTGATTTGGGATTTTCATAGATATGATCTCCATTTAAGAGAATTAGATATGGGAAGTGTAACTTGAAAGGGTTTCAAGTTTGAAAATTAATTCTGAGCAATTTCGCTAAGCTATCATGGTGCATCTCTTCTCAAAGGAGTTTAGAAACAGAAATTACCTGTGCCGTTTGAGTCCAGGAGAGGATGGTAGAATAAGGCCTGTAGAGAAACAAAAACAAAGACCAATGCCAGCCACAAATGATAAGTCATAAACAAATAGAACGTGTTTCTAGTTAGCTCTCTTTATTAGTGTTTACACTTTTTCTGAACAGCAAAGATTATGATAAAATGATCTCTTAATAGGTAGAATTCTGTACTAATACAACTTACAAGGCGGAGCTGGTGACTGACAGTACAATTACGGAGAAAAAATATTTGCATAGAATTGTATTTTGTTTTACACTATTTTTCCTTCGCCCTTTGGCAGAATTCTTTAATTAGGATTTGTTTTTAGTTTCTATTCAATTTCTTAACTTCTCAGCAAAATTTACTACTCCTTTAGTGTAGCCAACTATAGCATACCTGCATTCTGCTTCCCATGAAGGTCTCTACTGGGCTGCCCATGAAAGGGAAGTGGATGTTGTTTGATGGGTGATGTTATGAGACTCTGTCGCTGTGACAGTGATGGTGAAACAGTGGTTAGGAGGAGAGGCTGGGGATCCTTTATCCTTATTTCATATTCAGTCATGGGGATGTTCTGCTTATCCACAGGCTCTAAACAGGAGACATTTCGTGGAAGACAGAGATCAGAATCATAAGATTTTTATTTATTTTTTTAAGATCCTGGGCAGTGCTCGTATCTAATTTACTCTTAACCATCTCCAGGGACAGTGTTTGGCTTGGTCTGTCAGATATTTATAAAAGATTTCATTTTGCCACTTATATCAAGAAACAAGTAAGCTCATCACAAATGGACGTAAGTACAACTACTCCATGAATAATAATGCACAGCTGTCAGTCACTGTACCATTGTAACTCTTTATCTGACACTCTCATCAAATAATGAACTGTTCCAGATGACGTATTTTTCTAGCATTTCTCACAATGTATGGGCTGACCAACCATTCCTACGCCACCATTTGTTGATTATGTTAACATGAACTCTATTTTAAAAATCTGTGTTTTGTTTCAGTTCTTTTCACTGCATGTAACTTGTAGGAAAATTTCTATATTGATTCATCTTGCCACACTATTTAACCTCATTTCAACATTTAGTCCTTCCAAGGTCACTGCAGCTAATAAACGGCAAAGCAACTCTTTGTGTAACATTCATTATCTTCAGTGAATGCTAATATAATTAATAGTCTCAAAACAGATGATCTGTTGTGCACAGCATATTTATAACATCATGAACAGACACTGGATCAGGATGTGATGACAGTGGTTCCTGTTTGCAGCATTCTCACCTAACTCCTCTGCATGATACACACATATGTGTGTGTAGACAGATTTTCTGCAATGGATGACACAACAAATTTCTCACCTTTGTATTTCTGATTGCTATTTAGGTTCTCTTCTTGTAAGAATGAAGGAAATGATTCATTCAGATCTTGGCTCTGTATTAAAATAATAAGTGGATGATTAGTAGATGCTTTTCTGAGACTATTATACACTTGCTGATACATATCTTTGTTATATGTCCTCCCCAGGTGCAGTTCATTTCTTTATAGATTTTTCTCTATTTTCCCTCAGAAATAAATTCTTACCTTTCCTCACTGGTGTGATCATTCTCTCGTGCCATTTCTATGACAGACAAAATTATTTGTTCTCTAAATTTAAGACCACTCAACATTCTAGCTAAATGTCACTCTTTGCTTTAATATTTTAGGAAGCTTGTGTGGTCTGGACATACATAAGCACCTGTCCAGATTGGGGACAATATGTCTTTGTTGGTCCTCCTCGATATCTCAGTGGCCTTTGATCCTATCAATCATGGTATCGTCCTGGGATGGCTCTCCGAGCTGGGGACCTGTGGCCTAGCTTTGGCATGGCTCTGTTCTTTCTTGGGGGACCCGTCGATCATGGTATCGTCCTGGGATGGCTCTCTGAGCTGGGGACCGGTGGCCTAGCTTTGGCATGGCTCTGTTCTTTCTTGGGGGACCGTCCCCAGAAAGTGCAGCTTGGTGAGATGACTTCCACCCTGTGGATCCTCAATTGTGGGGTTCCACAGGGGTCGGTCATCTCACCAATGCTATTTAATATCTATATGAGGCTGTTGGGTGAGGTCATCCAGAGTTGTGGGGCTCCGTGTCATCAGTATGCTGATGTAACCCAGCACTACCTCTCCTTTTCTCCAATAAGAGAAATTACATAAGAGGAGATATAACATGGCAAATATTTATAAATGGTATAAATATTTGATTTGCTATATTATATCTCTTCTTATGTCTGATGAAGTGGAATTGTCTATGAAAGCTCACATTTTGCTCCTTACCTGCAATTCTTTAAAGACAAATTTATGTTATATCCAGATGTTTCCTTTTTACCACAAGTTGTTTCAGAGTTTCATCTTAATCAACCCCTCTCATTACCAACTTTGTTTCCTCAACCATCCTCTGACATCGAGCGCATGCTTCATTCGCTGGATGTCTGAAGAGCGTTGACATATTACATCTCTAGAACTAAAGACTTCCGCACCGCTGAAAGACTCTTTCTGTGTTTTCATGGACCACACAAGGGGTCACCTGCTTCATCATCTGGATGGCTTGTCTCTACAATTGCTCTGGCCTCTCTCTGTGTTTTCATGAACCACACAAGGGTTCACCTGCTTCATCATCTAGATGGCTTGTCTCTACAATTGCTCTGGCCTACAAACTACAGGGCAAGACTGTACCAGAAGGTCTGAAAGGTCATTCCACAAGAGCTATGGCGACATTTACTGCCTTGCTGCATGGTGTGGAAATTCCTGACATCTGCAGAGCAGCCACCTGGTCTACTGTGTCCACAGTAAAAAGGAGACAAGTTTTGGAAGGGCTGTTTTAACATCTATTCTGCAGTGACAACCCTCCTTCCAGTAAGGGAGCTTGCCAGTCACCCAAATGTGTGCATTCACAGAGGCCATGAAGAAGAAAGACAGGTTACTTACCTGTAACCATGGTTCTTCAAGTGGATCTCTGTGAATTCACACATTCCACCCAGCCTCCCCACTATCCATCACTAGTTATGCATATGCCGAGCGCAGGCTCTGGTGGCGGATAAAATAGAACTGGAGGCGGAAGGGGATGGAGCATGTGTGATAGGGGCATTCTAAACTTTGTTACTTTTTCAGAAAAGCTCTAGAAGATTCCAAGAAAGCCAGTGCAGGCACTGTTTAACCCAAATGTGTGAATTCACAGAGGTCCACTTGAAGAACCATGTTTACAGGTAAGTAACCTGTCTATTTGCTATATTATATCTCCTCTTATGTCTGATGAAGTGGACTTGTCTATGAAAGCTCACATTTTAAAAATACAAAAGTTAGTGGAAGACTGAAGGTGAGGGCAAGGTGCCTCTCACGGGAGTGCCATCCCTCCCTCCTTCGGTTGATAAAGAGAATCAGACCCACCTATTCCCCCGCCTAGGAAGATGAAACGACCTGAACCAGACCCTGGGAGGATAGAGGCGAGTTTAAAGGAGTTAACAGTCAAACAGCCTGGGACTGGTGTGGCAGGAAGGGAACGGAAAGCGCGGGAAGTGAAAGAGGTGGAGTTGGTGGATATAAAAGGGGGGAAGACAAGGACTCCTGCCAGACTGGGAGTGGATATGGATTGAAGATCCTTGGACTGGCAAGGTGGGGAAGCTGAGAGTCCCCAAGGAAGAGGTGGATGCACGAAGGAGAACTGACCCCCACATTTTCTTATTGGGGGGAGAGAGAGACTAGAGAATGGCGTAAGAAACTGAGGGAGGAAAAGGAGAAGGTTGAGAGAGAGAGGATAGAAAGGATAGGATGGAGGATGCGGGAGATGCAGAGGATGGAACCCAGGGAAGACTGTGGCAGATGGGGGACCCCACCCGGGATGGTGACTGGGTGGACTTTTGAGATGAGGACGACATCCCCTTATTGGAGAGGGAGAAGGAACTATTATTGAACCCTGATACCCCACCTGAGTGGCCGGGACCTTGGCACGTTCATGAAGGAAACCCCTTCAAGTATGAAGACTAGAAGCCCCGGACGGATCTGTTGTCTAACAGGGAGAAGAGCTGGAACATTTTTGTTGACATGGGACTATTGTTAAATAATCCAATAAATGTCACCCCTATTTCAAAACTGAGGAAGTCCGCTGATTTATTTGGAATTACAGCAGAGCTTAACATTGAACTCTCATAGTCTTTAAAGTGTTGCCACATTTTTGTCTCCTTTTTTGGTCTTTATTTTTATTTTGTTTTCACTTATAACCATATTTAATTGTCAATCTTATATGTGCTACTTAAAAATGTTCCTGTTACAATTCCTAAAACAAGACCTGACCTTCAAGTCATCTTTGATACATTCATAACCTAAAGTAAATCCCATGGGAAACTGAAAATCTTGCCCCTACAAAAATGAGTTGTGAATTGTTTTGTTTAAGCATCATGCCCAGTTGTGCCAGATCATCATACAGTCACTTTACAACACACAACTCAAATATCCAAGATTCAACACCGTGCACATTCTGTCAATTCCTAAGCATTTTTCCAAAGGTGTACTCAAGCACATTCCTTAAGCCCATATATCATACCTCTATTCTAACTCGGTCTCCCAGAACAACTGAATAAGGCCATACCTGGCATAAATTCTTCCAGATTTCATCTGAAAGCACTGGATTTACAGTGAACACACTAATGTAAGTTTGTATCACACAAGCAGACCTGACACACACAAATTACCCAGTTCATCTGCTGCTGCTGCTCTGAACTGCTATCTCTCCTTGGTTTCTTGGAAAAACTATGATGCTTTCCATAGCTTGGAGAAATTGGACTTGTCTAGAGAAATTTAATAAAGAAAGTATATCTTGGCCAGCTCAGTGAGAAAAAAAAGTTCATCAGAATCACAGCAGAGCAATCTAATTCCAATCAGAACAGGAACAAAGCAGAAAAAAGTCTAGAAATTCAGCAGAAGATGCACAGAAATAACCACAGTTCAATACAGGGTAACCAGAATGCAACAGAATGATGGACAATCTATATCTCACTAAGATTAAAATATTTATTGGAGGTTGACGGTCTTAGTAGGCAGTGTAATTGTACTAACAGTACTTCAAACAAGATTCATGCTGATTGGTCTCAAAATGCAAAATAACAATGGAAATATCTTTCATGGATCAGCTGCTCATTGATTAGATCAGGATGGCAGACAACAACCACTGAACATCAGTATCAGGCCACAGCAACCTGTGGTCTCATATCAGCAACCTGATACATGCTTTCAGGCTTTGAGAACAAGTAAAGATGAAACAGGAGTTGAAGTTTTTTTTACTGTCTCTTCCGATCAGAAATACTGTACTGTATAACAGTCCTTGGTATTTTAGGTTAATGAATTCTGAAAAAAAAGGAAGTTGCCTAAGAGCTTCTAAATGTACTGTATAACAGTCCCTGGTATTTTAGGTTAATGAATTCGGGGAAAAAGGAAGTTGCCTAAGAGCTTCTAAATAGGTGGCTCCTAGTGCTATCAAATAATTGATTATCTGTTATAAGCCACTAGCTGAAATTCAGTTGATTTTCCACACCAGGAATATCACACTTTTTTGGATATATATATCCATTACATGCAGACCTTGGAAAAATACTATTTAAACTTAATTTATTCCACTTAGCCATCAGTGTGACTGTCAAATATTCTTGCATTAGTTCTCTGATAGGATCAGAAGCAGTAACTCAACAGGATACTGGCCCAAATTTTTAAAGATCTTTTAATTTGCTCCAAAATACAGTGGTGCCTCAACTTACAACTTAATCCATTCCAGAAGATGGTTGTAACTCGAAATTGTCATAAGGTGAAGCACCATTTCCCATAGGAATGCAATGAAATGCGATTAATCTGTTCTGACTGAAAGGGGGAAAAAAACCACTGCAAGACCCATCAGACCGAAAGGGGAGAAAAACCACTGCAAGACCCATCAGAAACACAATTAATCTGTTCTAGCCAAAAGGAAAAAAACCCCAAAAGCAAACAAACCCTGTAGCCGAAAGGAGAAAAAAAACCAAAAAGCAAACAAAGCCTGCAAGACCCATCGTAAATGCAAAAAAAAAAAGAGAAAACCAGAAAGCAAACAAACTCTGCAAGTCCCATCGGAAATGGGGGAAAAACCCCCAAAGCAAACAAGCCCTGCAAGACCCATTGGAAAGGCGAAAAAGACAAACAAACCAAACAACAAAGACTGCAAGACCCATCACAGCACAGAAACATAACCCCCCCAGCCCAAAACCACGCGGCAAAACCCACCCGGAACAGTTTTTAAAAAGCAAAAAGCACCACCTTACCAGGCAGTCCAAAGCCTCCTCTGAACACACACTCTCTAACCGCTGGCGCGAAAGAGCTACAAAGAAGCACCCTTTTTGCAACCAACGGTTAGCAGTTTGAATTCCCCATCTTTTTCAACCAATGGCTAGCAGTTTGAATTCCCCATCTTTTTCCCTGCCTTTTTTCCCAATTGTAACTCGAAGCTCCGGCCACAAGTCGAAGCAAAATTTTGTGGCTGGAGCTGGTTGTAACTCGAATTGGTTGTAAGTCGGGACGTTCGTAAGTCGAGGCACCACTGTACTTGTCCATGCTTTCAAAAATTAAACAAAATATTGTGCAGTAACACCACAGCACTCTCATAATGATTTTGGCATTATGGTGTTATATTGTTTTTAGAATACAACGTAATAATGGTCTTTTTAAAAAAATGTTTTTCTTTCTAAAAGTGCAGTCATTTCAGAAACACGGCTAATTCTCAAAATTGGATATTGATTTTTTGCAATCCTATTTTTAAAATAAAATAATAGTTAGCTGTAAATTAAATCTTAAAATAATAGCAATATATTATTATGGTATTATAACATTAAACCTTCCCTTCAATTAAAAAAAACTAGAGAAGTGTTTTAGTATTATGGAAAAATAAACCACAATCATAAAATTGCAGCCATAACAAGGATTATAATGAAAATGTGCTGAGCTGTGACAGGTTCAATTTCCCAAGATGTAACTGCACACATGAAAATCTCACCCACTGAAAAAGGACATACAGCCCCGTCATGGTCGTATCCATTAAAAGACTAAATATTTATTTATTTGTTTGTTTATTTGTTTGTTTGTTTAATTTGTACCCCGCCTATCTAGTCAATATGACCACCCTAGGTGGCTTCCAGACATATAAAATACAGTGACGTATACATATAACAAATAATTTTTTAAAAAAAATCAAAAATATACTATAAACACTAAACAATAGGTGGAAATGATTGGATGGTGTTGTCATGTGGCTGCCTCACATGAAAAACTAAACAAATTATAAGAATTTTCCATTAGGTTAATGGACTAATGGTCTGACTTCGTTCATAAGGCAGGTTGTGTATATTTAGTTTGATGCATCAAAAAAAGAGACGAGAAATTAAACACCAAAAAATTATCTCACAAAATGCCCTATCGAAATTCTTCGCCATTTTAGATTTTTAAAAAACATTGTGTAAAGAAGTCTCTGCCACACATTTGTGTATTTATAAATATATAAAAAGATATACATCTTGTGAAAAGGCACCACAGAAGTAATACAGAACAAGGGAATACAATGTCTTAATAATACAAAGTTCAACATAAAGACATTTGGGTTGACATCCAAGAGAATACCAGCAAAGCAGAAAGCCCCACCAACACAGTTCCATGGAATCTCTCACTGCAACCATACTGGACACTGTCAACCGCTGCCAAAAAACGCGGTATTTTATGGTTGCACTGGAAGACATTAGATGCGTCGCTGCATGAATGTTGAGAATGTCAAGCCATTCACAAAACAAACCATTATTCACATGAGGCCCTAGCCCCTGGACCTAGTTAGAAAGATCTTCAGAGATTAGCCTCTTTTCGTGATAAGTCAGCTAAATCCTAAAAGTGTAAGACTCAAATTTCTTATTTACATATGTAACTTTCATGATTGCTGGGAAAAATAGATAAACACTATAGTGATTTAAATACTTTCTTTTGAAAAAACGAATAAAAATCGTACCGTAATTGTAGTGGTCGGTAGTGGAAGGTTTCTTGATGACGACAAAGTGGGAGGAAAAGGCAGGGAAGAAGAGGAGTTGGAGTTCGGAGGAGTAGATAGACACTGGGGAGGAAGAGAGAGAGAAGGAGAGTGAGCGACAAGACAAAGAAGAAGGACCGCATGTGTTTTCATTCCCAAAGAAGGAAGAAAGGGATAGTGATAGAGGGAGCAGACCCTCACAGGAGTGACAGGTATAGAAGTTCAGTTAGGGGAGCTAGACCCACTGGAATGGGCGGTCTATGTCTACATGAGAGGGAAGGGTCCTTGGAGGAAGATGGTGCATCCGGAACCTATCCCCACTGGGGAGATACCCCACAAAGGAGAGTGGTCAAGTCACTCATGCTGTGCGACCATATGCACAGTAAGGAGCACCCCACTGAGGAAGCTGAACGATCAGGAGAGATTTGGGATGTCACCATGTTGAAGGAGAGAACAATACAGATGGGACTGCCTATCATATGGGCTGGTTCACCTATGCTTAACAGTCCCGTTGGACCTATAGAAATTATTGTACACCCTTCCCCTCCTTAAGATAAAGGAGCACCGAGGAAGCTGAACGATCAGGAGAGATTTGGGATGTCACCATGTTGAAGGAGAGAACAATACAGATGGGACTGCCTATCATATGGGCTGGTTCACCTATGCTTAACAGTCCAGTCCCACCTATAGAAATTATTGTACACCCTTCCCCTCCTTAAGATAGCAGACGTTCTATTAAAAGTATCCCGACCCCTGTGGTTAATCGGGTTAAAGAGGAACTGCTTAAATAAGAGTAAGAACCTAATCACACTAACCAAAGATTTTAAATTGCAGTGCAGGGATGGGCTACTTGGGTGAGTGAAAGGCCCAACTGTCCTAGGACATATCAAGGCTGCAAGAGCACCCTCAAATGAGCTGTGTGTGTTTAGTCGTTTAGTCGTGTCCAACTCTTTGTGACCCCATAAAAATTTAAATCAAAACTTAATGCTCCTGGAAGCCCACTTCTGATTTCCATTTTATGAGTTTAGGTTGGGAAGAGTCTGCAACCTATTTTATTGTAAAATCACGAGTTTAGGAGTCTTAAAGGAGAAAAGCCCTAAACGGTTTAGGATCTCAATACATGGCAGAACGCCTTCTCCCACCTAGATCTACCAGAGTCACTTGTTCTAGCCAGGAAAGACGGCTAAGGGGCCTAATGCCGAGAGAGGCCCGGAAAGAAAGAACAAGAAACTGGGCCTTCTTGGCAGTGGCCCCTCAACTATGGAACACCTTGCCATCGGAAATCACCCTGGCACCCTCACTGGGTGTTTTTAAGCATCATTAAAGACTTGGCTCTTTAGGCAGGCCTTCCCTCCAGTCAACACTTGATTCTTTTCTTCTCTAGTTTTCCTTTTTCTCCATCTTGAGCTTCTAAATTTGTTGATTTAATTATGTGATTGTTTTATGATGATTATTTTATGATATTTTATAGCTTTTGTAAGCCACCCTGAGTAGACTCTGTCTAGAGGGGCAGGGTAGAAATCAAATAAATCAATAAATCAATAATCTTTTTAAAAGCTGAATTATTTTTCAATGGATGGCCATCTGAAAACCAAACCAAAAAACAATGGCCTTGGAGGGCCATATGCAGCCCTGGGTTTTATTTATTTGATTTTTATACCACTCATCTGGCTGCCAAATTCACTCTGGGCGATTAACAAAAGCAGTACTAAAAGCCATAACGAAAAAAACCAGATAATAATCAATAACGATCAAACAAAATATAAGAGGAACTAAAACAAATTACACTAAGAAATAACAAAATAAACGCATGGCGAAGGGTTGAATGGTAGTCATTAAAAACACTATTGTATCAAGGTGTTTTAAAATCTGAGAAGGACTGTCTAAATAACCATGTTTTTAATACGGTAATCTTTTGAAGGTTCCTAATAAAGGGGTTGCGCTTGGTCAACACTCCAGTTGTAGCGACTCTCAGTGAAACAACTCCAACAATGCTCCTCCCCTTTTCTGTGGAGAAGGAAGTGTATCATAGAATAGTACACAGGGTGTTTTAAATAGCGCTAGCAAGCAAAAAATATTGTAGAACTCTTCTGCTTTTTTTAATGGAATAAGAAAGAAAATTCCTCTATTTAGAGTGTGGTCACACAGGGAGATAGATTGCCCTGATGGACCACTTGTGGAGCAATGAGATTTATCTCCCAGCAAATTATGGTGAATTATGCTCCAGATTGGCCTTGAATTATGCTCAAGCTGGACCTTTTTAGTCCAGCTGTTCAGCTCCTTTTTAAAAAAGCCAGACTGGACTGATTCCATAATACTGTATATGGAGTGGCTGCTTTGAGAGAGATTGCTCTCTGCAAAGTGAACCTTTCAGATGCGATCCAATGCACACCTTTCTCACACTCTGATCATAGTCTTCTCACTAGGATGCTGAACAATGCTTGCAATATTGTATTAGTTTTCCATTGCATAAGCTTTGCAGAATTTATATTTATGGTTATACCGTTTTTTAGCATACTCTGGAAAAATAGTTCTTGGTTTTCAAAAATTTATTCATTTATTTATTTAATTTATAATTTAAAAGTTGATCTTATCATGTAGCTGGCAGACAGTTCTATACATATATAGGTATATGCACTTTCTCCTCTTGGGTTTGTGCTTTAAAAAATAATACTGAATATGCACAATTATCCCAGCTGCATC